TGCGCCCGGCAGCGGGCTGCGGCTCGACTGCCGCGCTCCCGCGCGCCTCCGCCGTCCCGAAACCGACCCAGGGGGCCCCCAGGGGGGCCCCTCCTCGCACAAGGGGGCCCCCGGGGGGGCCCCTCCGCACGGGCCCCATATCTGCTGCGTCTCCGGGGCCAGCCAGCTGCGCGGGCCCGAGCCCCAGCCACTACCAGGGGGGCCCCCACCCCGGGGGGCCCCCAGAAGGGGCCGCACCAAAGACGGGGGCCCCCGGGGCCCCACATACCGCATTAAGAAGCTCTTGACGCCCTCCGAAAATCTCCCAAGGGCCCCCTGCAAACCCGAAGGACTCCGGTCTTGAAAACCCCCCTCTATGTCCCGGGGGGCCTCGAAAAAGAAACCATTTTGGCCATCCGAAGGCTCGCTTTCCGAGGGAGAAAGGGGCTGTCCATCCGCCAACAGGGGGGCCCCCAGCTCCCCCGACAGTAACCCAGGGGCCTCCGGGTCCTCCCCGCAAGGGGGGCCCCCCGGGTGGCCCCCTGGAGCCGACAGCTCAATGCCGAGAGGCGCCCGGCCAGCAAGGGGGCCCCCCATGCCGCTGAAGCGCTGAAACTGGCCAGCGGCCCCAACTGCTTCCTTTCCTTGACTTTGTCCTCTCCGTGGAGGCTCAAAAAGAAAGGAATAAAGAAGAAAGAAGGAAAAACGGAGTCATTCCACGCACAAGTGCTCAGGCAGCAGGCCCGGGCTGACGCCTCTCACGAAGGCTGCGGCTTGCTGGCTAGAAGGCGTGCTATTTGGCCATCCAAATGTTCGTTTCAGCTCCTTTTTGATGAAAAAGGAAATCAAAACCTCAGAGAAATCCAGTTCCCAGCTGCGCTGTCCAGACACTCCGCCGTGACCGGTGGTCCGCAGCCATCACCAGCAGACCTCCGGCTGCCACAGCATGTGCCGGGCTTGAGCCTCCAATCTCTGGCGATTTAGTCTTTTCGTTATTTAATTATTTATTACTTTGTAAATATTAATTTAGCAATTTTAAACCCAAATGCGGCAAGAATAACGCCCGCCGCAAGGCGATTCTTCTGCCACAGCAGCTACCGAGTCACTTCAAGTAGCAGAGCAGCGTGGGCAGCAGCAGCAGCAGCAGCAGCAGCAGCAGTGGCAAGAAGTGCTGCTCCTGCTGAGAGCCTTCTTCTGAATTATTTTTTTTTTGAATTTCATCATTTTGAAAATCAAAAAGATCCAAATGTCTGCAGCAGAGCCACACAGTCATAGTGCTCTGAAAACCCCCGTGTCTTGACATCCACAACACACCAGATTTGTTTGTGGCTGTGGCATTGCCCCAAACAGAGAACTAATAAATACAATTAAATAATTAATTTCATTCTAAGACATTTAGCGATGCAAAAAGAAGAGCTGCAGCGTCTGAAGGCTCCTCAGAAACCCCTGACGGCTGCTGCTGCCTTCCAGCTCCCTTGCCGGAATCCCCGCAGCAAGCAGCAGAACCTCAAGGTCTTATTCGCTGATCGAAGGGCAGCTTTTGCTGCTAGGAGAGCAGCAAAAGCTGCTTTGTTGCTGCTTGGAGAGCAGCAGGGCACTCTCTAGCAGCAGCAAAACAGACCCTGGGTGCGATTTGCTGCAGCCTGTCCGCTGCAAGACCTTGCAAATTAGCAGGCCCTGCGGTGTACGTACACCTGCCCGCTGCAGCAAGTTGAACAAGTAGCCCAGGCCTTCCTTTTAATAATATGCATTTTCTATTTTTGACAAAAAGCTACAAGGGGCCCCACAGGCCTTCCCAGTGACTGCTTTGCTGCAGCTCCCCGCAGGGGCTTGTGGCTCTTTACTCACTACACTAATGAGTGCCTACAACGATCCTTCTAAACGCGCAAGTCCACGCTGCTGCAGCAGCAGCAACAGCAGCAGCAGCAGCTGCAGCAGCAGCAACAGCAGCAGCAGCAGCTCATAGAAACGCTATTATTAGATAGAACAACAACCAGAGTGTACCTCCTACGGTCAAGAAGTCGATGATGAGCCCCCTCCCTTCGTCGGGGCCCCCGACATGCAATTCCGCATCGGGGGTTCCCTAGGGGCCCCCAGGGGCCCCCCCGCCCCCCAAACCTAACCCCCTCAGCGGGGGCCCCCCAGGGGGGCCCCCCTGGGGGGCACCCCAAGGGGGCCCCAGCCCTAGCTCGCAGGGTTACTGAAGCAGCTGGACAGGGCCCCCAGCAGTTTTTCTCTGCAGATGGAGCCCTCGGCCCATTCAACGAGTGGCACTGCTGCAGCTGTTGCTGCTGCTGCGACTTCTGCTGCTGCTGCTGCTGCTAGATTCGCAGCGCGTGCAGAGGCGGCAGCAGCGACAGCTTGCTTGTCTCCCTCTTGCCTGTTTGCGGCCCCAAAGACATACAAACGCCCCCGCTGCAGCCCCAAGGCAAGGGCCCCCCGCGGGGTGCGCAGCGCAGCAGCAGCAGCTGCTGCAGCAGCCGCCCTCCGCTGACGTTGCTGCAGCGAACGGAGATGGGGTCCCGGGGTGGGAAGATGGGCTCAGGGCCTCCGGGGGGCCCCTGCTGCACCCCCTGTCCCCTCAAAAACAAGGGCCCCAGCAGCAGGGCCCCCCACGCCAACCCGCTGCTGCTGCTCCCCATTCCCGTGGCGGCCCGCCA